CACGGCCAACATCCCGCTCTCCGGCCTGAGCATAGGCGGCCACGACGAACTCGAATCCGGCATCTACTACGGCTGGTGCACCCTCGACACAAGCACAATCTCCACCTCCACAACCGCATCCAGCGTTCCCAGCGCCACAGACGATACATCCGTCCCCTCCCAATCCTCATCCCACGCCGTCCTCGATCTCGAATACTCCTCAGAAACGCCCACGCCCTCCACGATCTACCCGACCGTCCTCTCCATCGGCTACAACCCGTACTACAAGAACAGCCAGCGCAGTATCGAGATCCACATCTTACACAGCTTCGAGAAGGACTTTTATGGCGCGCAGCTCAGCCTCATGATACTGGGGTTTATACGGCCGGAGTACGATTATGTGAGTAAGGAGGCGTTGGTGGAGGACATTAGGGAGGATATTAGGGTTGCGCAGAGGAGTTTGGGGAGGGAGGGGTATGAGGTTTGGAAGAGGGATGAGTGGTTGAGGGGAGGGGATGATGTCAAAGTGAACTGGAATCAGGAGGGGCAAAAGGATGGGGTGGGGATCGCGCAGATGATAAATTAGGGGGTGATGGAAGGGATGGAGAGAGGAGAAGGTCGCACGATGCGCATAACGAGGGATGTTATGAATGGAACGAAACATTATTATCATACTGTTGTTCTAGCCGTGGAAAGCATTGGTATCGCGCCTTTGGTGGCAGCTCGTCTACTCCGTTCACGCCTTAATGTACGCCCTCGATCACCTGAAACAAATAACAAGAAGTAGCATACCAAGCACTACCTTCCATGATGCGCACGTCTCGTGAGACGACCCTGGTATCCATGCATATGCGCCAATGTTCCCAGCAAACCAAAACCATAAAAGCACTTTTTTACTGCCGCCATGACATGATCGTATATCAATTCAAAGTGCATCATCCGTATCGAGGCAATCCGTCGCTGAGGAGTGTAACAAGAGCTGCGTCCCCTACAACCCAATCCAAGCAGCTCTTACTGCATTCCTCAACGTTATTCGCTGAATTCAAAATCTCGTTGAGGAACGCAGTGAGAGCTACTTGGATTGAGTTGTTCAAGCGAACGCCAGGATCCGTCTTCGATTCCATCTCGCTCATTGCAGCCCTTTGTCAAGGACAGGCATGACCTAAAACTCATTAGCGCTTGACCCATACATAACTTCAAGGTTGAACTTACACTCATACAAACAAGCACAGGCATATCAAACATATCGCGCTTGATATGCCACCAGATCATACAATCAACCATACCATTCTTCGCGCCAAGCCGTTGCATGGCACTCTCGCCCTCCACCTTGACAAGCGGATCGACCTTGACATCAGCACCGGCATTTGCATTCTTCATTTCCTGGATGCGATCCATGTCTGCCTTAGTCTGGTATCTGAGCATGTTGACGCGTTGAGAAGCGTAGCCGTGGGGGTCCTGGTAGCACAGTTCGGAAAAGTGTTGCAGGAACTCGAGGGCGGATTTGGGGTCCATGAGCTCGATGATGTTGACGCTTGGTGTGGTCTCGGAGTCTTGCGCGGTGAGGTTGGGTGTGGTGTTTTGGGTTGAGCCCGTGTCGCTTTCGCTTGTGTCACGGTTCGTGCCCGTGTTGACGTTGAGGTTGGGCTCGTGGCCGAGGAGAACTTGGTCTTTCCAGCCCGTGAGAATGGTAAACTCCTTGTTGATGCCGACAATCTCGCCTGAGCGACGACAGATCAAGAACGGTGTACCGACTTCCGCAAAGTGATCTTGCAGTGTCATGACCTGACGCTGGAGACCCATTTCTTGATGGATCAAGTCGTCTCTGTTCAACTCTTCCCGCACTTGTAGCAATACAGGTCGATAATTTTGAAGATACTGTTGTGCCTTAGCGACCCAAGGCCTCGAGTAGTTCTTGTCGATCAGCTGATAAAGCCTGTGATAGCCCTTGACGTAATCGTATGGCTTGGTAACCCCTTGGTATATGCTCTTGGTGTCCCGTTGTCGCTTGCGCACGCCATTAGAGTGTATCGGCTGGAGTGCCGTGGTCGAAGGTCTGTTTTCATGTTGTGATCGACTAACAGCTGGAGAACGCTGCGCATGCGATCGATTTGTGTTGGCGAAGAACGCTGCAGTCGCCAGTGGGTTGTCACCCTCGAAGGTAGACGCATCCGTAGAGGCTGGACTTGCTGTATGGCTAGCAGGCCCTTGGCCGATGACGAATGCGTGAGGACCGCTGAGGCTGTCGTTTCGAAGACTGTGGTGATCATGGCCGGCGGTATTTGGCGTGTGAACGTGCATGCTCCCTTGCCGCGAATGTGCGTCTTGCCACTCGCCTGCTGGGAGTCCGTTCGCATTGTATGCCATGGCGGTTGCCGCGTTGTTCTGGTCCGCGTAAGTTGAGGGCATCTGTGCATTGTACATGTTCACAGCGCCGTTCATGTTCATCATCGCGTTATCATGGGGTGCGTCCACTGCGCCTGATGACATGTGACCAAGCATGCCAAACTCCAGGGCTCCGTAATGGTTTCCGAAATTGAGGCTCGAGATGTCGAAATTGAACAGTGCGGGGTCACTTGGGTCGAACAAAGGTCCGAACTGCTGCAATTGGCCCTGCTGATTTTGAGACATGGGGTTTGGTGCGTTTTGTACTGGGCCGTGGTGTGTCTGGTTGAACGGAGGTGATATTGGCGACTGCTGGTTGCTAAAAGCGTGACCGTCTTGAGCCACAGGCATTTGCCCTGGTATCGAATTGGGCGGGTAGAATGCCGCGGGCTGGGCTTGGTTGTACATGTTGCTCTGTGGAGAGACCGAGACTGGCTGTGTGTCGTGACTCGGTATTGGTGTTGGGCGGTTGCCGTTCATGTACGGGTAGTGACCGCCTACACCAGGCATGAGCGCTCCGTCTGGCGCATCGTGGAGATACTTGGCCTTCTTGCGCACGCCGTCCATGCAATGATCTTGGAGACCGCGCTTGATACAGCGATTACATGGTCTCTCGTCACCTAGAAGCTGTCAGTCCCGCCATTGAATGCAATGACTCACAATAAATACTCACCACATGTCAGATGGGCTCGCTGGCAGGCAAAGCACGCTCTCCGCGCCTTCTTCCTCCGCGGTCTTAGAGGGTCTTTTGCATTGGGCTTTCCATTGGTAGGCTTCTGGCTGGAATCGCCGTCGCCAGACTGGCGGTCTGTAGTCTGTTCAGCAGCCATGTCGTCGTCCAAGTCGCTCCTGTACTCGGGCGAAGGAGAGGCATCTTGGGCGTCTGGGGTGGTCATGATATCCCCTCTACTGGCGCAGGCACTCGGCCAAGCACGGACGGTCGCTGCGGTGGACGGAGGCGCTGGGGAGAGAGCCTAGTGCTGCGTGTAGCCGTCAATGGTGATCTTGGGGTGTTCCCAGCAAAACGGTTCAGCCAATGTGTCTGGGGTGCACGGCTTGAGGCGTTCCAGCTGCGTGTTTTAGAGTGCGATCACGCGTGCGCTGGCTGCTTGAACGGGCGCTGCCGTGGCACTCTGACAGGTCCAATGACGAGCTATGCAGGGGACCCAGAGAGTGAAGGGCTCTCAATCCGGCGGACAGGTATGGGACAGAGCTATTGTGGTACGGGGCCGGGGTCCATGTAATCGAGGGAGCATTCCAGGAGCACACAGAACCATGTTTGATAGCGAGATGCTACCGAGACGCGCTGCCCATGCTGCTGGGAGTCGAGTGTGGTTCTACAAGCGGTGCCGGGGTTCGTTCAGTGAGCCCGCGGGAGGTGAGAGCAGCAGCGTGGCAGTCACGGGTGCGGCGTCGCGTCGAGCGCGGAAGGCGCGACACGATAGGGCAGTGGGGTGATACAGCGCGTGCAGTCACGGTCAGCGCTGGGGCAGGTGCGATGGGCGATAGCGATGTCGATGGCGATGGGCGATGGGAGGTGATCGTCTGGGGAGGCCGGCTACGAGTCGCGACGGAGCGCGCGGTCGAGGCGATGGAGGCGCTGCTGGGCTTGACGAGCGGCCAGGGCACTTGCAGCGCTGTGTGCAGTTGAGAGTGGGCTCGCGGCGTCGGGCGCTGGTCGTGTGCGGTATATTGGAGCTCGCTGCAAGATGCGCGCAGATGCGATTCCCCGCAATTGGCTGTTCGAGGTTTGCTGGAAGGTGCAGCCCACGCAGCTGCCTCGGTCCCTGTCGACCGGTAAGCCGCTTGCTTGGCCGGCCGCTAGCCCGCAGTCACGCACTTCTGCTTCACTATTTGACGTCGCTAGCCCTTCAGCCACTCTGGGGCTGCTGTCTGCCACATGATCGTCGTCAATACATAGGTGGATCGTGGTCAGTCCATCTTTGCAGATTGGGCACCCTGCTGCAGACGGCCCTGCCCAGTCACTCGCAATTCCCACCGCGACACCTCATGCCACACAGCGCATCCCCAAAAAGCAAGCAGCCGGCATGCCCAAAGTGCCTCAAACTCGGCTATGAGGCATGCATGCAGTGTGGGATGCGAGGCCTTGGCGTTGGTCCTGACTGGCGTATCCCCAGCCTATGGGCGCGCTCGTATCACCAACTATCATCACTCGCTACGCTTCGCGAGCGCTGTGTGCCCTCACTGTCTCCCTCACCGTGTCTCTGGCCTGCCGACCACGTTTCCTCGCACGCCGGTGCACCGCCCCCGGCAACGGTACCATCCGCAGCCGCTTTCGTCTCTTGTGCATCCGTTGTCCCTCGAGCTGGCGTGGCCGCCCTCGTGGCGCTCATGTTCCGTCGCACAAGGGCCCGGCCATCCTGCTTCATGTGGTCTCACGTGTGGGCGCAAATTCCTTGATTCAATAAAATTCTTTCGCATCAAACTGCCGTGTCACTCGCTATTATTAGTCCTCTTCCAGTCAAGTCTGCCACATGCCCTCGCGTCGCTTCCATGCCCACTATGCTGATGCATATCGACTGCCTCCCCTGAGCCGCTTGCCATATCGAAAGAACAAGATTGGAAATCTGCAACAATATACGTTAGTGGTTCCCACGACCATTCTCTTGGGTCTCTTACGGTGCCATGGCCAGCGCAAGGAACGCAAGTAGAGTAGTTGCCCACTGGTAGCCGAGATCTTTTCCAAATCAGTGACCGCTCTTTCATCATGGTGTGCCGTCCTAGGGACTTACTGTTGTACATCTGAACACCAAATAGTCTATGTCGTTAATTAGTAATGAAGTCTGCCCCAACGTTGGTGCTAGCTTACGGGAAAGCCGCAGCAAAGTACGACCGCGCGAAGCTGTTGGCCGCGAGAGCCGATGCAGCGTAGACAGGGTACTGTTCGGCGAGGTCACTATCTCTGTACCCAAGAGCCTGGTCCGACTTCGGTGCGTGGTGGGACTTACAGCTTCGACCAAGAATGTAAAGACCCCTGAATAGACCCAGATGACACTACGTCACGCAATACGGTCAGTGAGCTGTTCATCGGCGGCACCTGGAGCGTCTGAAAGAAGAAAACCTACCCAAGGCCAAATACTGCTGAAAAGATAATTGGAACTGCAGTGTCATGGTCAGTTATTATTGCGACTGGACAATATGCACGATGATGTCGTACCTATCCAGTGAACCTGCGGAAGCCGGGATGTTAGCCATGGAATCTTCCATGCCAGTGAAAATCTAAACTTACTGAGGAGTATGTCGTCCACCCAAACCCTGCATACGTGTGATTAGAAGCTTGTTCGAGGCGAGGCCATGCAGCGGCTTACCAAAGAGTGCGACAGGGACGACCCAGGCCCCAACAATAGTCGAAGGGAGCCGAAACTCAGGTTCCGAACCTCCGGGCTCGCCTCCTTGCTCCTCGCGTTGCCGCACGAGCCTGCCGTATATTCTTCTCCAGAAAGGGTCCGTGGAGACACCCGCGAGCATCCCAACCAACAGACCCAAGAATGCGAGTCCAACCTGCGAGATGCTGAAGCCATGATTGTTGCCGAATACGAGAGGAAAGGCGCCAAAGAAGAGGTACAGGATACCCAACAAGATTGCCGACAAGATGCAAAGACTCAAGCACTAGATCACAACAGTCAGTCCACCAATCACGGTCTCACTAAGCGCGGAGACCCACCATAGGCTCGAAGAAAAGAAGTTGAAACGGGCGGATGCATGACCACAGCACGGTTTTGGCGATAGATCTGTCCATCTTCTCAATGGGCGCTATCCACTCTGGGTTGCCGGTTTCTTTTCGCAGTCGAATCGCCTTTCGACGGAGCAAAACGGGGTGGTACGTCTCAGGCACGAAAAGAACGATTAGGCAAAGCTACCAGACTAGCATTAGTCTCTGGTACACATGGTGTGCAGCACAACCTTACCTGAACTCCAGACCAGATGATGAGAACATAGAAACACCTGATTGCGTGTCAACAAATCGCCGATTCTCCGCAAGAGATGATCGACAGCACACTCGATACGAGCATCAGGGGTAGATGCTGCCAGCTCGGCCAACGCCATCGCAGCTGCAGGTGCAGTGTCGCAAGGTGGGGATAGTGGGCCTGGAATAAGCACTTACCATCTCCATGTAGTATTTTCCACGATGAAGCCTCCTATCAGAGGGCCTACCTCTGGCCCAACGAACGGGCTGGCTGTGTAGACCATCATAGGTGCAGATAGCTCCTACACTTACGTCAGATATAGACGGCTAGCGAGCATCGAATGTACTGACGTGTTTCCCGAACATGTCACCAACAGTCCCTCCAGCAACACTGAGGAAGGCTGAGCCAGCTAGACCGTCCAAGAAGCGCGCAACCAACATTGTCTGGATGTTCTGTGCCACGGCGCATGGTATCATCCAGATGAGGAAGAATGTGAATGAGCAGATATAGATTGGCCTTCGACCGTAGAACTGGATCATGTTAGTCGATCACGGGTACGGCGAAGTGCCGTTAATTCCCGGCAGCTGTACGCACCTCCGAGAGTGGACTTAGGATCATCGGTCCTGCGCCGAGTCCCGCAACAAACATAGATAGACCAAGCGTGCACACTAGGCGTGAGGCCCCAAACTCAGGCTCCAGCTGACTATACGTCGACGTATATAGCGATGAGGTGCATGTCCTACATTTAGCAATCGTTAGTTTGTGCGCGTGCAACAGTTCGTATATGGAGTTGATGACGTACACGCATAGTGAACTACTGGCGCATATTAACACGATGAGCCATCTTCGTAGTTTTCCCATGCTGCGTGGATTCTCTGGGTCGGCGTCACCATCCCAGGTCACGAGGTACGGTTGCTCTGTTATAGGGCCGGGTCGGGAGTTGCTTGGGCCTTTGGCATTAGCTTCTGCGTCGAGGCATGTGTAGCCATCTCCTCCAGCTCTCGAGTGATGCGATCTGACAGTCTTCAGACTCCTTCCATCTTGCGAACGTCTGCTTTGGCTGCGGCCTCTTTCAGCTGTTGCGTCATTTAGCTCCTTCGTTGGGGACTGCGTAGCTCCGCCATGTCCAACATCTTTCTCTTCGTCGATGTCGGCAGCAGATACTCCTCTCTTCTCGTACTCGCTTGACGCGCTGTCTTCATGTTGTTCGCGTGCCGAGCCAAAGCTCGTTCTTTCTTTCGACTCCATTCTGATGAGCCTCGCGGTCGCTCTGGGTGTTGGAATGAAACGCAAGGTCCGACGAGTACCAAAATCACCAACGACACGCCAAACTTTCAGAAACTGCTCCACTCTGGAAATGACTAGTTGCCGCTCGGATATAACTCGCCAAGGTTCTCAAAGAACCCCTGATGACAAACCCTGGTTATGCGACGCGATGCAGGTCCAACAGGCGAAGGAATGAAGTGGGAAAACCGCGGCAAGAAGGGATACTGTATACTCTAGAAGCAGACATCGCGCTTCGACTAAGCTTTCAAACCGCGCCGCGGCGATCGGCCCAAAGGCTCTGGGGCCACTCGTGCGCAGAGTGGGGTGGCGTCTTCCTGCCATAACGGCGCCAGTCTGTCTAGATTGGTGCATACAGTCTATCTAACTAAGAGCGCGCTAAGATATAGCATGCGCTAACGCAAATAGGTAATTTTTAAAATATAGTATACTAGTATTATACTAATTAAAAGAATTAGCGTACTTAGTAATAAAATTTTAATTTAAATAATTTTTAAATTTATTTTAAATTAATTTAGACTAAATTATACTTATATTATAATATAGAGCCTTCTTTACCTATATTTAATACTAAGTCTAAATTTCTTAACTTTAATGTATTAAACTTAAATATTTATAAAAGATTTAACTTATATTTATTTAGCTCTAGTAAGAGTAATAATAGTAGTATTAAAGACTAAGTTAAAGTATATAGTTAAATTAATTCTAGAATAATTTTAGACTTATTTAAACTAAAGTATAGTTTAACTTACTTTTAAAAATAGTAGCGCGCTTTTTTTAAAGGCTAAAGTTATTAAGTATACTATATATTTACTTTAATACTCTAGTATAAACTCTAGAAGCTATACTTATATTATTTAAGTTTTAAAAGTAAATAAGTAATATTTTTTAGTTAAAAGAGTATTATAAGATACTAAAAGTATAAGTAGCCTACGTAGACTATTTCTAAATTAATTTAGAACTAATCTAGTATAAGTAGTTTTAATACTATAGAGCTAGTAAAGTAGAGAAGAAAAAAACTTTTAGCTTTTTCTTAAATTTAACTACTTTAAGATAGGTTTTTAAGTACTTTAGTATTAAGATATATAAATATATTTAAAATTAATTATAGAATTTTATTTACTTATAAGTAAATAAAGACTTATATAAAATACTTAAGTAGATAAAGATATCTATAAACTAAATTAAGTAGAATAGAGAAAGAAAAAAGGCTAGAAGCTACTTTAATAGGCTTTAGTATTAGTTTAGAAATAGTATTTATACTAATAAAGAAAGTTCTTATAGTTTAGAGTTATTTTAAGTAAAATTAATAGTATATATAGTTAAACTATTTTAAAAATAATTTTTAACTAATTCTAGTAAGTAATAAAGCCTACTTTTTAGTTTATTATTTATAGTAATTACGCTTTAGATAATATAGAGTATTATATCTAAAGAGTGCTACTAGAAATTAATATTACCTACTTATAAGCTCTTCTAGATAGTAAAGTAGAGAGCTCTTATAAAAACTATAATATAGTTAAGCTTTAGATCTTACGTCTAAAAGACTATAGTAAGTTTTTAAAAAATATTTCTAGATTAATTCTAAACTATTTTAGGTACTAACTATACTTAGAGTTAAAGTAAACTTATTCTATAAGACTATAATATAGTAATTAATATTATTATCTTTCTATATTTTAAGTAGGTTCTATACTTTATAGTAGTTTTAACTAGTATATACTAGTATATACTTTCTTTATCTTAGTAGCTAGATATAGAATTAGTTAAGAATATAGTTTATATATTCTAATTAATATTAATACTAAATACTATAAGATATAAGCTATTTTATAAATATTAATTCTAAATTATTTCTAAACTATTCTAGCTACCTTTTTATAGTCTAACTAGTTTATCTTCTACTTAAGGTAGCGTAAAGTTTTATTAATTAAGAAACTCTATACTACTTAAGTAAATAAAAACTACTTTATAAGAATAGCTACTACTTAAAAATTAATTATATTTTCTCTAGACGCTAGCCTAAAGAGAGTTCTTTTTAAGAAAAGAGTAAATTATTCTAACTCTACTACTATAAGCGCTATCTAAATTATTTTTTAAATATTTCTAAATTAATCTATATAGATATATATTTACTAAATCTTACTAGCTAGTAAAAGCTATATTATTATCTAAGTATAGAATAAGTAAGCTAAACTACTTATAAAATAAAAGACTTTCTAGATAGATATATCTTTTAAGCGCTACTATAATAGTTAGAGAGAAATTCTTTTTACTACTATACTAAAGAGCTATAAAAAGAGTATATAAATTGCTTTTAAATTAATTTATAGCTAATCTACGTAGTTATTATATTTAGGCGTTTTACTACTAATGCTAAGTTCTCTAAAATATACTAAAAGATATTTACTACTTTCTTCTAGACTATTAAAAAGCGTTTAAGTTAGCTAGTATAATAGTAGTATCTCTACGTATGTAGTTTCTATAGTATTACTATTAATATAAATACTAAGTAGATAGCTAGTAAGTTAAATTAATTTATAATTAATTTATACTTATTTTAGCTTAGAATTTAGAAAGTATCTTACTAGCCTTAACTAGCTTAATAGAGACTAGAAGTACTACCTTAGCTACTATATAAGATTTTATATTATTTACTTTCTTTATACTATTAATAAAGCTTATTCTAGTATACTATATATTAAAAATTCTTTATAAAGTAGAATAAAGACGCTACTTACTATAGTAAGCTAAGCTAAGTATTTTAAGTTATATAATCTACTTATTAGTAAGTAGTCTAAATTAATTTTAGAACGTTTCTAAACTATTCTAAGAAAATACTCTAATATCTATAGCTAAAGAATAAGTAAAAAATAAAAAAAACTCTATTATTACTATAGAATTAAATATACACTATAGTAGTATATCTAGAGCTACCTAGAATATACTAGAATTCTATATAAATACTATAGAATAAGTATATATAAAGAGCTATTGCACTAGCCTAAGATATAAGCTTCTAGTTAGTATTAGACTATATATTAAATTAGTTCTAAATTATTTTATAACTAATTTTACTTAGTACTATATAGATAGATCTATAAAATATATAGAAATATAAAATCTATAAAAAGTATAGTGTTAGGTATAAATTAAGATAAAATTTAAGCCTAAGTAGCTACTTTTATAATAATATAAGGTAAGAAAAGAGTAAGTATTTAGTTATCTATATATAAATTAATTCTAAACTATTTAGAGTATAAGAAATAAAAGAAAAAGAATAAAAAAAAAATAATATTCTTAAATTACTTAAATTACTTAGGCTATTAAGATAGTAACCTTACTAGTATCTAAGCTTCTAGCTAGTAGCGTAGCGCTTACGTATATAGATATTCTAGTTATTACTTTTAGCTTTATTTTCTCTTAAAGCTAATTTATTACTAGCTCTATAAGTATAACTATTTCTAGATTAATCTAGAACTAATCTGCGTAGAGAATACTCTAACCTAGATATAAACTTAGAAGAAAAAAAGTATAAGCTTAAAAAAAAGTATAAAAAAGTAAAACTTTAATAAGAAAGAAAGTTACTTTAAATCTAAACTAAGAAAGCTAAGTTAAAGCTCTAAAAAAGAGAGCTATAAGTTTACTTTTAGTGTAAATTAATCTAGAACTAGTTAAGAAGTAACTAGACTAGTCTTAGAATAGTTAGTATAATTAAAAAGTTTTTAGTACTAGATAAAATCTACTAAAATCTACTTTACTCTCTAATTCTATCTTTTCTATATTAAATATAGTAAGTAGAGTTCTTTTTAATAAAGTTTATCTTTACTTAACTAATTCTAAATTAATTACTAACTATTTTAGCCTATATATATTTAATATACTACTCTTACTATACTTCTACGTAGCTCTATAGAGTTTAACCTTAAAAACTCTAAGAAAAGATATATTATCTTTTATAGAAAACTCTTTTATTATATAAAGTATAATAAAAGCTTCTTAAGTCTCTATAGTATAAGTCTAATAGTTATCTAGAACTCTTTATAAATTAATTCTAAACTAATTCTAGTAGCGCTATAAAAGAAGATTAAACCTTATTAAATATATTTATAAAACCTATCTCTAGTACTTTATTACGCTAAATTCTACTAGTATAATGCTTTTATAAATATACTACGCTACTTATTACTTCTTTTAAAAAGTAATAAAGTACTATAATAACTCTAGAGTAGTAGAAGAGAATACTATTACTAAGAAGTAAATTTAAAATAAACTTTAGAATTATTCTCTAATTAATCTAGAGCTAATTTAACTTACTATTTAACTAGCTACCTCTCTTACTAAACTCTTATTAGAGATGCTACACTTTGTATTTTTAAATAAGTAAAAAAAATAAAAAAAGAGTAAAATTAATTTCTAATTAGTTTACTATCTACTACTTAAAAATAATAAGCCTTTACTATGTAAATTCTACTAAAGTAGAAGATTTAAATATAAGCTTTTTTTTTCTATTTAAACTTTAATTAATATATATTTTACTTACTAAAATATAGCTTATTACCTTTATTAATAGTATTATAATATCTCTACTTTTTAAAACTTATAGAGAATATAATTAAAGTTATAGTTTTATTAAATTTATTTTATATATCTATTTATTCTTAAATTATTTCTTAATTATTCTATAAACAATTCTACTATAGTTTTAATTCTTATTACTATTAGACTTAGAAAGAGTAGCTAAGCTCTTAGACTTAGAGGTCTTTCTAGAAAAGTTATAAAAGAACTACTAAGAAGTATATATAGTAAACTTATTATAGAAGAAAGTATAGTCTAAATTTTATTAGAATTAATTAAGAAATATTTAAGAAATAATTTAAATAAAGCTTACTCTCTAGGTTTTTAGCGTTAAGGCCTTCTATATTATACTCTTAGTAAGAAAGGTTAAATTTATTATCTAAGTT